GGATGGAGACAGACAATAGTCATGATAAATCTATAAAATATATAATAAATTAGATAATGTTAAGGGCTAAGTTAAAAAAAAATAAAGCAGAAAAGGGCTATAGGAAATATGGAGTAGAAATTTAAATAGAGTGGTCAGGGAAAGGCTCACGAAGAGGTGACATTTGGATTAGGTCCTGAAGGAAGGAAGGGAGCTAGCCCTGTGGATATCTGGGGGAGAAACATTCTATGCAGGGAGAATTGCAAGTTGCAAAGGTCTTGAGGTGAAATAGTGCCTGGAATTGAGGAATGTCGAAGAGGCAGTGTGTCCATGGGGGAGGAAGTAGTTGGAGATGAGATCAGAGAGGTGACAGGAGGCTAGGTCATAAAGGACTTCACAGGAAAGGGAGCCCTGAAGGTTTTGAACAGTGACATGATCTGATTTTTTCACAGGTTCACTCTGGTCACTGAGTTTTGAGAACAGTATGAAAGAGGGTAGGTGAAATAGGGAGATTGTCTAGAAGACTTCACCATAATCCAGACAAGAGATGGTTGTGGCTTGAACCAGAGTGGTAGCTAGTGGCTAGATTCTGGATGTATTTTGAAGATAGTATTCACAGAGTTTGAAGACAGAATATGAAGTGAGGTTATCCAGTATTTGTGATATAGTTACATTTCCACTGTTCTCTCCTAAGTGACAAAGACACAGTTTCTCACAGGTTGTCTGTCATTCTCAGAGTTTGACGGTTCTGATATTCAACTTTCCTGAGTTTGAAAACACAACGCAGTTATTTCCATGTCCTACCTCAGCCTTGAGAATGAAGAGAAAATGAAACTGTCTGAAGACTGACAGTTGCCAGCACTATCTCATGAGCTCCTCCTAGACTGTAAGGTCCGCTAGGCTTATTTCATTTCCCTTGATGTCCTCAAAGCCTGACTCAGAACCTTGCACACATTAGGGTCTCAAAAAATGTTTGTTGAATAGTTTAGTCTACATTTCCTGCTCCCACTGCCTTGTTTTTTTTTTGTCTGACTTTGTCACCCAGGCTGGAGTGCAGTGGTGCCATCATGGTTCACTGCATTCTCACCTCCCAAACTCAAGCAATCCTCCCGCCTCAGCCTCCAAAGTAGCTGAGACTACAGAAGTGCACCACCACGATTTGCTAATTTTTTGTATTTTTAGTAGAGAAGGCCTTTCACCATGTTGTCCAGGCTGGTCTCCAGCTCCTGGGCTCAAGCGATGCACCGACCTTGGCCTCCCAAAGTGCAGGGATTACAGGCATGAGCCACCGTGGCCCGCCTCCCATGGTTATTGTAAAAGATTACATTTTCACATTTGCTAAGAAAATGAGTAATAAACTGAAAATAACATTAAGCCTCTACCAATTGCAGAATCACAAGCTAAAATGTTAATTTCGGTATTAAGGATAGTATGCTGGAGTACTGTCAAGTACTTTCACTCTTACTAGCTCACCCGAAAGGTGTTTTAGCTTCCCTGCACCTCGTAAGCTGAAGGACGGGGAGACTGGCTTTGATATTTGCAGCTAGGGCCCAGTGTCACCGTACACCATGGAGTTAAGTACCCCTTGAACGTGAACAAACGTCTATGAAAGATCACTCAACTTGCGTTAACCGACGGGTCGGAGACCCCAGCCGCTAGCGAGCACACTCACAAGTCCCGGAAGTACGGACCCGCGCTGTGCACGCCGGGAGTTGTAGTTCCTCCTGCTCTCTTTCGCTGCCCGCCGGCCTTCGTTGCACGAGCGCCCCCAGCGGCACGCAGGCTCGGTGAAGCGCAGCGCGCGCGGACCCCGGGGGGAGTTTCCTAGCAACCGGGGGAGCGGCCACGTCACGGTGGCAGGTTCTAAGCGCTGCTGGGCACCGTAGGGCCGCCGTGTGCACCTTCCAGCAGCTGCGGGCTGGTGGAAGCGCTGCTCACTGTCGGTGTCCGCACGTCTTCGTCCGCCCTTACTCTCCTTATCCTGCTCCAGGTAGCGGAGAGCCGCCTCCCGCCGCGCCCTGCCACTGAGGCCCGGGTCAGAGGCCAGAGGCCGCCCGGCCCGGCCCCCGCGCGGTCCTTGCCCCTGCGCCCGCGGAGCCCGCCGCCCCGGGCCTCGGCGGGACGATGCTGGAGTCCATTCGCGTGACGGGTGAGTGCGGGGAAGGGCTGGTCGCCGCGGGGGTGCGGAGCGGACCGGGGTCCGGTCGTCCCGGGCCCAGGTGATGGTAGCTGCGGGCTGGGCACGCGGCTCGGGACTCCACCCTGCGCCCGGAGCCCTGCGGGGCGCGCTGGAGGCGCTCGCGAAAAACCTACGGAGGGAAGAGAGAAATCGGCTCCTTTTCCTTTCGTCACTTATTATCAGTAAGTACATGCTGTGGAATCTCGTGAAAAAGATTATAATAGACCGGTTGCCAGTCCTACAGAGGTACAATCCAAAGACTGTTAAATCCTGTTTCAGAACACGCTAGGTGTGTGATTAAGCGTCATAATTTTCTAGAATGTTCAGAAAAAATAAGCTAAGCGAAAGAACACATCTCTGTATTTCAATATTTATACTGTGTATATTTGTGCGTGTATGCTTTTATTCTTAAACAGTGAGAACGTTTTGAGCTGATATTATTAATGGGCCATTTTACAGTACGGGTTATACCAAATGTAAAACATGGGTCTTTAAACAGACCACAGATCAGAAAGTCTGAAAGTTTACCTGCCTTTTTAAAAATTCAGTTCAACCTCTGGGAGCACAGAACTTGCCTCTTATTATTTGTAAATCGCTATCCGTGTTAGCCATTAGAAAAAACTTACATAATAATATTAGAGCAATTTTCTAGGCCATTTTCCCAGGATTTGACTCTGCACGCAAACATTTCTGCAAGGCAGGGTTTTGGCAGTTCAGTATCATGACGAAGAACCACGGAGTAAAGGGAAATACCTACTCCTTAAACTAGTGCCAAAATAAAGCCAGAATTTTAAACTTTAAAGCAATGCTGTACCTAATAGACTATTTTTCTGTGAGCAAGCCTCTTTCCAGTGAAAATATTCATGACCTTAATTTTATACTGTTTTATTTCATGTTCGGTGTTATAACACACGGAGTTGATGTGTGCAATCATGACATTGCCGCTATGTATCTCATTATTTACGTTGACAGGAAGCATAGATAGTTACAGGATCTAAGATGGAAAGGTAACTTTAATTGGAATTAGATTTTTTTAAAATGTGATTTGATGTAGATGCTACCTTCATCTTAAAACACAATTAAAATGTCAAAAGTTACTTAAAAGTGCCATACCTTATAAATGTGGAGCAAGGTTTCTCAACCTCAGCACTATTAACTTTTTTGTTATCGTTGTTGTTTTTGAGACTGAGTCTTGCTCTGCTGCCCGGGGTGGAGTGCAATGGTGTGATCTTGGCTCACTGCAATCTCCACCGTACCGGTTAAAGCCATTCTCCTGCCTCAGCCTCCCGAGTAGCTGGGATTACAGGCATGTGCCACCACGGCTGGCTAATTTTTGTATTTTTAGTAGAGACGGGGTTTCTCCATGTTGGCTAGGCATGTCTCGAACTCCTGACCTCAGGTGATCCTCCCACCTCGTCCTCCCAAAGTGCTGGGATTACAGGAGTGAGCCACTGCACCCAGCCTAGCACTGTTAACTTTGAACATGATAATTCTTCCTTGTGGGATACTGTTTTCTGCCCCAATCTGATAATTGTGACAACTAAAAAAAATCACAATTTGGGGGGTGGGCAACATCTCCTTCTCCTCCATGAGAACCACGGCTTTGAAAAATATCTGTCACAGTGCACATTATTCGATTGAGAAATCACATTGATTAAAATTATTTCCCCAAACTGTAACAATCATTGTGGATATACAAATAATGTTAGTATTAGAAAGTAGATACTCTGATCAATTAGTCATGTATAGTGATCTCTTGATATGTCAACATGTTGAGTTAGAAGTTTGAGAAGAGATACTTTAGAAAGTAGGAGACCCATTCCTCTTGTCTTTTTCCCCTTCCCATAATTTAGTGGTGGGTACATTTATCAATCTAACCCTGTGTGTTGCAAACCCTGAGGTAGATAATTTGGCAGTGAATTTCTATAGTACAATAAAGTTCAAATAACCATTTGAGGCCATTCAAGCCTCTAATTTACAATTCCTTTAAAAATAACTGGGTATTTTTCAGACTACTTTCTCCCTTTCTTTTATATAGTACTTAACTAAGTGAAATAATTCGAGAGCCCTGTGCCCAGCATTTCACTACAATATCGGAAAAACCCAATTTGGACAGCTGGAAACTTCATGAAGAGAGTTAAGCTGAAAACATGCCCTCCTCTCCCCTGGTTATTCCCTCACAATTCATTGATATCTAAGATACCCATGTTCTTCTTTCTGGTGAGCAGAACTTGATTGTTTGTGGTAAGAATCCTGATGGAAATATGTTCATTTTTTTTCAGTTCTAAAGTCATTACAAATATAGAACAGACTCATTATTTTATATTTCAGGAATGAAGCAATTACTTGTTTCAGAAATCACTTCCTATATAATATCTTACCCACTTTTGACTTATTAGTCATGATTTAACATAATCTAAATACAATATCCTGGTGGAACTGCTGATTGGAGGAGTACAATGAAATAAGAGGGGTGTGTACACCATCTATGCTGTTTAAAAATAGAATCAAATCAGAAAAGGTTTTTTTGACTTCTCATGGCCTTCTCAGGCTGGGTGCAGTGGCTCATGCTTATAATCCCAGCACTTTGGGAGGCAGAGGCGGGCGGATTATCTGAGCTCAGGAGTTCGAGACTAGCCTGGGCAACACAGCAAAACCCTATATCTACAAAGTTTTTTTAAAAAACTTAAACTGGCATGGTGGCCCGTGCCTCTAGTCCCAGCTACTTGGGAGGCTGAGGTAGGAGCATCACTTGAGTCCAGGTGGCAGAGGTTGCAGTGAGCCAGGATTGCCACCGCAGCCTTGGCCACTGAGTGAGACTCTGTCACACACACACAAAAAAATTCTACTTTAGCTTCCAGGATTAAAAAAAAAAAAAAAAAAGCATTTATTATACTAACGCCACTAAAATCTTGATTCTAAAATATAGATTAATTACCTTCTTAACATGAAATTTGCGTTGGAATCCAAATTTAATGATTCCAAATATTTCCCCATTTACATTTTTCCATTGTGGTGTTTCTGTAGGAGCTGAATATAACATTTAATGTGATACTAGTAATAATAGTTAACAAAGGCTGCTTATGTATAGTCCAGTGCTATACTCAGCACTTCACATATGTTAGCTTTTAAAATCCTTACAACAATACTATGAAGTATGTGTTATAATTATCATCCCATTTTACAGATAAGAAAACAATAGCACAAGAAGTTATATAACTTGGTCAAGGTTATAGCTATTAATAAACAGAGACAAGATTTATACCAGACAACTCAATCTAAAGCCTATGTTCTCAATTACTAGGAAAATCAGCTCACTATTGTAGTGACGGTACAGTGATTTGAGCCACAAAATCCAACATCAAGATTTCCTTTAATATCAGTGTCACGTTATCCGATGGTTTGCTCAAGTGTTGGTTTTTAAGTTTTTAATCACAGGCAAGTATGTAAATAATAATTTTTACCTGGGAAAATCATATTTTACTTGAATATAAATTTGTTTATTTAAAAATAGAAGACATCTGGTTCATTCATCAACAAAATGCTATGAGAAACCATATAAGATTATGTTCATTTACGACTTCCTGTCGGCTTTATTTTGTATGTGATGTAAGAAGTGATTAATGAGTCATTTCAGAAATGAAGTATCTTTATATCAAAGATGAATGTTTAAAAATACTGGAAACGAAAGTCTTAAGGCCAGTGTTAGGACCTACAGGATGAATACACCTAGGCACATAGTCCTGTTTGTCCTACAGCAACTGGCACCTACCATTCAAACTTGTCTTCAATCTCAATGATTGTTTCATTTTTCTTTTGCCTTCCCGGGATAATTTTTTCCTCAACCTTCAGGCAACTAAGTCTTTTACCTTTTCTTTCCTCTCAAATATTATCTTCCCTTGTCTACCTCTCTGGCCATCCTTCCATAAGCAGGACAGTGAATGAGCAAAAACACAGATGTATGCTCTAAAAGAGCTTATAATTTCATTGTTGAGGAAGTCCATCATACAAAAAATATAAACCTGCAACCATGATAAGTGCTTCGACGACAAGATACAAGGTGTTATGAGGGTCTAAAATGAAAAGGTTAAGGAGGCCGGGCGTGGTGGCTCAAGCCTGTAATCCCAGCACTTTGGGAGGCGGAGGCGGGTGGATCACGAGGTCAAGAGATCGAGACCATCCTGGTCAACATGGTGAAACCTCATCTCTACTAAAAATACAAAAACATTAGCTGGGCATGGTGGCGCGTGCCTGTAATCCCAGCTACTGAGGAGGTTGAGGCAGGAGAATTGCCTGAACCCAGGAGGCGGAGGTTGCGGTGAGCCGAGATCGCGCCATTGCACTCCAGCCTGGGTAACAAGAGTAAAACTCCGTCTCAAAAAAAAAAAAAAAAAAGGTTAAGGAAGGCTTCCTGACCAAGTGCTATTTGAACTGAAAGATGAGTATTAATCAAAAAAAAAAAAAAGATGAGTATTAATCTAACAAAGAGAGGGATAGAAGGGACCAGCAGACACAGGGAGCAGCATGTGAAGAAATATGTTCGGAAGGAGCATGGTGAGAATGAGGTGTGGACAAAATGAGAGAAAGCTGGATTGGAGAAATTGAGGAACACTGTGAGGTGAGGCTGCAGAGGCAGAAGGATCTGACCAAGAGTGACCTCATAGACCATGGTCAGGAGTTTTGTTCATCCCAAGGGAAAACCATGGGAAAGTTTGTTTCTGGAACATTGTGTCATTTTAGATGATGTATAATGCTCATTCTTACCACAACCATCACCATCAAGGGTATCTAGACTACTCTGTATATTTCTAACTGTAAAAAACAACTCCCTCTCTCTCTCTCTCTCTCTCTCTCTCTCTATCACTTACTTCTGACCCCAAAACAACAGTGTCCCATTGTAAGTTACTAATAGAGCCACACTGAATTGCTCTTAGCTTGGACTGTGAAATGTTTAAGAATCCTGAAGTACAGTTGTTTCTGAGTCCTGAATGACATTAGTAGCGCCTTTCATCTCATTTTCTTACTGTCGATAAACTACATTAGTTGCTATTGAATTTAGAGATATTATAGTGATCAGATTATCTGTTATACTGCAGACAAATTGAGCAATAAATGTGTTTTTAAGGATACTGATTTTTATACACCATTAAAAAAATTAAAGTGTAACTTATACAAGTCTTAAATGTACAGCCCAATGAATTTGTACATACATAACCATTGCCTAGAACAGAGAGAGAATATTTCTAGCACCTAGTAGGTTTCCTGATATCTCCTCCCAAATTATGATTCCTCCCTCAAATGTAATTGCTATTCTGACCTCTAATACCATAAATTAGTTTTGCTGTTTTTGGACTACAGATAGATGGAATTATACACTATATAATATTTTGATCTGTCATCATTTGCTGAACATTGTCTGAGATACATCCATATTGTTACTTACAGCCTCCGTTTTCATTGCAGTATAATCTTCTGTTGTACGAGCATACCACAATTTATTCATCCTGTCTACTGTTGATAGATATTATTTGAGGGTTTTGTTTGTTTGTTTGTTCGTTCATTTTTTAGAGTTGGGGTTTTGCTATGTTGTCTAGGCTATCTAGGCTGTGTTGTCTAGGCTCAAACTCCTGGGTTCAAGTGGTCTTCCAGCCTCAGCTTCCTGAATAGCTGGAACTACGGGCATGTGCCACTGTGCCTGGCTTCTTTTGAGTTTTAAGTGATGTAAGCCTTGATAAAATTAAATGTTTATCTTGTTTGGGGATTATTTTGTTTTGTTTTGCCCTTTCTTTTGTTTGCAATCAAGTAATCTATTGTTTTGTGGTATAAAATTATCCCAGATTATCAGGTTTCCTAAGTATTAGTGAACCATATGAAATTTCCATTTTGTTGGTCAAAACTGGTTGAGTAGTATTTGCCACCAGGCTTTGTTTCTAGTGATCTTCTTTTTTAGCTAGAGACCTCCTGATTACTACAACCTCACCTACTCACAGTTGTGATACATTACGTTTAGAGAGCAGTGTCTCCCTTTTCCCCCCCATTCTTTTAGATGAGGAACAGGTGCTACCGATGGGTTTAATGATTAGGCTAGTATTACAGAGAGGTCATTGAAAGAGCTGGGAATGGACGTCAGGAATCTTGGTATCCTTTTCTCCTGTTCTAGATACATATTAAGCTTTCATTGTGTTGATAATTTCAGTATATTCACTTACCGGTGAACAGACTGTCAATTTTAATGTAGCAATACTATTTTCCCTTTTTTCCTCAGTATCGGTAATCAGGTTGGAGTGAACGATTTTCTTCTATCAACAAATTATTTTCATTCTCTCCAATATTATAGTGAAACAGATTGCTTATAGCTAAGTGTTACATTATATGACTACCTTTAATGTGAAAAAGTATGCTTTTTAATTGCCTTATTACTTTTCTGGGAAAACATAAGTTACACTTCCTCCAAATAAGTCTGCTTATGCTTAAAAAATGTTTTAATTTTTCAGAAAAAAAAGGATTCAGAAAATAGAATGTTCTTTAATAAATTGTGTGGCCAACTGGAAATGTTATCGGCCTCTTATTGTTCTTACGCATGTTCAAAAGTCTTTTTTTCACAAAATAAGCAATAGTATTTAAAATTACAAAAACAATCTCTTAGGTTCTATGATACTTTTTAAGGCAACTGAAATACAATTAGTGTGACTCTGAGAAATTAATTTATTTCCACCTCGTATGAGTTGCGTGAAGGACCATGTGCCCCACTTTTATGAACTTCATGGGCTATCCAGCATTTGGCAGGATTGGCATTTGTAAAATAAATACACCATTAACACTCCCAAACTTTACTCAGCAGCAGATGGGGCTTCAGAAGGACTGATGGTAAGCTTCTCAGGAGATAATTAGCAAGTGAACTGAAATGCTATAATTCCTGGGGAGAGCGTTTCTGTTAAGCTTACACTGTCACCCTGCTGCCATACTTCACTCCTCCTTGAGTATTTTGACAGGTGGTTTAGGACCTTTTTTTTAGTATCAGGAAATGTATAGGCTGTTTCAGATGGCACAAAATTATGAATTTGAACGTCACTGATGCTTTATGACAAAACAGAAGAACTCAGCAAGCCCAGTTTTTTGGTCATAAAGCTACTAGGTCTTGGAAAACAAAGCATTTTTACATTGAATATTCATTTTTAAAAAATCAGTACAACATATATGTAATGAATCATCAAAACAGAAATTCTTGAGAGTAGTCTTATTCATTGATTTTAATTTGATGTAACTCCATCCCTTTTTATTATGAAGATCAACCGAGAAAACAACCTGATTTCCTCCCTTTACCTTTCTGGCTACACCTAGTCCTTACCCTGCTTCCTAGGCTTGTGCTTATTTGAGTTCTTTTACTCTTTCCCTTTTTGTGTCTATTGCGGTTTTCTTTTCATTATCACCTCTTATCTCCTAAACTTGTGGTGTCATTTTAGGGAAACCGACATTGTTCCTGGGCATTTGGGCTGCAGCCTGTGTCCTGGTATTCCTTAGCCTGTTTGCCTGGCCTGCCCAGTTTTGACTATTAGTTGGCAACACCTAAGTCTGAAACTCCTGAGAAACTGGGAGCTACCAGCCTGTAATGAACATTTTGTTTATTTGTCCCATTAATTTTGTCTTGTTGAGTCTGTAACATTTATTGAGCGGCTTCTTTGTACAACCTATCTTCAACATGACCCTGTGTGATCTAGCTCCTACCTCTAAACTTATACATATAGTAGACATTTAGCCCCTGCAAGCTCTAGAGATACCTTTACGTTATCTTTTAGACACCAGAATTCAGGTTCCACATGCTGGCCTAGAAAATGTAAGTAAAAAGGCTTTTAAATACCTTATATATTTGGATTATTATCTACTTTAGACTAGTACTATTTCTTTACCCTAGACGCTATGACTCCTGTGTTTTAAAAACTAACATTTAGATCAGAGTTTCATTCCCTTGATACTGTTGACATTTTGGAATCAATATTTCTTTGTTGTAGGAGATTGTCCTAGGCAGTGAATCATCTTTAGCAGCATCCCTGGCCTTTACCTGCTAGAGGCCAGTAGCCCCTCCCCGGTTATGACAACCAGAATGTCTCTAGACATTGCCAAGTGTCCCCTGGAGGGTAAAATTGCCTTCTGTTGAGAAACACTGGTTTAGGGTCTTTCCTGTTATATTTTCATGTCTGCGGTAATCTCATATTGAATTGTCCCAGAACTACAAGTACATATTTTTTCAGAATGGTTTGCATGTTTAGGGTCATTTATTTATTCATTTGTTTATTCAGTGAACACTTATTGACAGGACTTGAGCTGGAGTCTTGTTCAGATGAGCTGTGTTTAAGACAAACTCTTCATCAGTTTAGAATTGAGTCTCAAAGCCCTTAAGGACCTACTTGAAATCTCATCTGTTTCTCTTCACATTGCTTCCTTTCTCATCTGAACTGTAGGTTATTGTCTGTTTCTTTTGTTTTTCACATTTAATTATATACTACTGTATTATTATTGAAATCCTCATAGGAATGCCTTGTCTTCAGAGCCAGATTAGATGCTGGTTGGGCCGGGTACAGTGGCCCACGCCTGTAATCCCAGCACTTTGGGAGGCCAGGGTGGGCGGATCACGAGGTCAGGAGATTGAGACCATCCTGGCTAACATATGAAACCCCCTCTCTACTAAAAATACAAAAAATTAGCCATGCGTGGTGGCATGCACCTGTAGTCCCAGCTACTCGGGAGGCTGAGGCAGGGGAATCACTTGAACCCGGGAGGCGGTGGTTGCAGTGAGCTGAGATTATGCCACTGCACTCCAGCCTAGGTGACGAAGCAAGACTCTGTCTCAAAAAAAAAAAAAAAAAAAAGTAGCTGGTTATAGGTAACAACGTGTTTATACAGTTGTTTATCAGAGCCATGTGCTGAATTAGTAGTATTCTATGTATTTGTTGAATGAAAGAATGCAAATCAACAGTTTTAAAGGAGTAAATGCGCAACAGTATATACAGTGATTCTTAGTTTAAAGCACTTGTGAGGTCTAAATACAAAGCTGCCCTCCCCTTAACTTGCCATTTGACATACTGATACCTTCGTAATAGTTATTAAAATTTGTTTCTAACTTGCCAAGAAAAAAAACCTTGTTTTTCTGTAACCTTAACTTGCAGCTTATAATTCTGAAGAAATTGTTCATACTAAGTGACATTACTAAAACATGCTTGAAGATGCATATATTATCTGTTTAAACTTAACAGTGGTTTTTGAGTAAGGCTTTGTTGTTGTTCTTTTGCTGATAGCCACCTTTATATATATGTTTCCAAATTTCAAGATTGTATTATCTTTGAAAGTGCCTTGGATTTTACTTTATTATTAAAAATACTATTTTAAAATATATCGTTTCTATGAAATCCACATTTTTTTTTTTTTTTTTTTGAGACAGGGTCTTACCCTGTCGCCCAGGCTAGAGTGCAATGGCGTGATCTTGGCTCACTGCAACCTCTACCACCTGGGTTCGAGCAATTCTCATCCTCAGCCTCCCCAGTATATGGGATTACAGGCGTGCGCCACTATACCTAGCTAATTTTTGTATTTTTTGATAGGGAGAGGGTTTCACCATGTCGGCCAGGCTGGTCGCCAGCTCCCACTCAAGTGATCTGCCTGCCGCAACCTCCCAAAATGCTGGGATTATAGGCATGAGCCACCGCACCCAGCTGAAATCTACATTCTTTAGTAAAGTATTCAGATTATTTATGTATATTATCTCACATATTGGACTTTTATCATTTAAACGATTTGAAGCTGAGGATTTTTATAAATAATTTAACTTATATGCACTTATAAAGAAGAGAAATGACAGTGTCTAGCATGACCAAAGTTTAGTAATATATCCTTTTAATATTTAAAATGTTTTTCTCTAAAGATTATTGCAAAATTACAAAGTTTAAAGAATCTTCAGAATGCTTGTCCTATAATAAACAATTTGCTTCATCTGGTTTCTTTGTTATTTCTTTTGTTTTGATTTTGTTTATTAATACAGAAAAGCTTCACTGGCCTGAGCAAGAACTTGCTAAGAAGTCTATTCTAAATGCAGAAGATTCATTGATCATCGACAGCAAAAGAAGCCTTTCACATTTATCCTCGGGAGTGTTAAAAGACATTTTCACAACTGGAACCAGTAGTTACAATGTCCTACTACAGAGCAAGGAGGAAAGAAAGCATCATTCACAAAAACAGTCTTCCTCCGCCTACTCCAAAAGATGTAGAAAACCCAGCAAATCTTCTAACACTTCTCGTAGTAAAGATCCTCACAGAATGAAAGCCCTGGTGCCTGTGACGAGCAGTGGTACTTGGTACTGCCTGGAGAGGCGGCCTGCTGTTTTTGTCACTAGTTCAGTGTCAAGTCCTGTAAAGTTTACACATGATATCTCTGTTTCAGGGAACGCCATAGTACTGCCACCTAAACCCAAAAGCAAGGTCAAGCGGTGCCATTTCTCCACTCTCCAAAAGCCAAAGTCACAGCCTCAGCTGTCTGGAAGCTTTGAGAAGGGAGATGACTTTTCTGGGAAGAAATTTTGTATATTGACTGCTATAAAACCCACCAACTTAGAGAAAGAAAAACTGAGATTCTTCAAATCTGACTATACCTACAATCCTCAGTTTGAGTATGCTAATCCTGCTCTGCCAAGTGTATTAACTAAGCACAGCCACGCATCTGACCGATTTCTTAAGCAGGTAAAATGCCATTTCAATAGTGGTAGTTCATTTTTACGTGCTAAAACAATTATCTATGATCTTATAAGCAAAAAAATAATAATAATACATTTGAAAATATTCAAGTTATTTCTATGTTATGATTAATTCCCACTCAGGACATGTAAATCTGTGACAAGAAATCTCCAGGTGAGTGATATCACCTGTACATAAACTACTTTGGACTCATTAATTTGTAATCTGTTATATAGACTCTTTGTGACAGGAAGCAGCTATATTAGGAAAACAGCTTCAGATTCTGGTTCTAAGCTTTCATGTGGGATTTACAAACTTGTGGCCAATTTAGCCACCTACAGACAAGTGTTGGGTAGCCTACACTATGTTTTTGCTTTCTAATTGATTTCTTTTTTGTTTTTTACTGAGACATATTCTTGCTCTGTGCCCAGGTTGGAGTGTAGTGGTGTGATCTTGGCTCACTACAACCTCTGCCTCCTGGTTCAAGCAATTCTCCTGCCTCAGCCTCCCGAGTAGCTGGGACTACAGGCCCCCACCCCTCTAATTTTTATATTTTTAGTAGAGACAGGTTTCACAGTTTTGGCCAGGCTGGTCTCGAACTCCTGGCCTCCAGTAATCTGCCCAGCCTCCCAAAGTGTTGGGATTACAGGAATGAGCCACCATGCCTGGCTTCTAATTGATTTTTTAATGTCTTAGATGGGGCATGCAATCCCTGGTTCTTCCTTTATGTTAAATTCCTGGTTTGCTTAGGCTCTGGTAAGTAGTTTGGGAACCAAAACTTGATTCTTGTCCATCAACTTGTTAATGCTTCACTAAAATTGTTAATCATCATCAAATAAATATTTAAGCACTCATTTAAAGAGGAAAATAATGGGATTTTTGAAATTATCTTTCAGGTTAGTAAATTATGATGTGAATGCTATGAATAATACTTTTAAATTGCTCACTTTAAACGCTTAGCAGTTTTGTGTTTTACAGGGCTGTAATACATTGAAACGAGAATCTCATTTAAGCATTTGAGAAAAAATTGGCTAATGTTTATCTGCAGGGCATAGTTTTGAGGTCATTAAGGCCAGCTACATTTGGTCAAATTAACTTTGTTCGGGTTTTTATAATATATTAGCTTCAACTTGGCTTTGTCAGTGACTGAAAATCTGTTTGTAGGATAGGTAAAACTGCGTGATTCTTCTTGCATGCCCTGTTTTAGCATTTTTGCTGATAATAGTTATTTGGTCTTGTGGCCAGCAGATATTTTGCTGTTTATTATAGATAACATGGAATTTGGCCAGTCTTTTGAATCCATTATGTAAAACTTAATTATGTAAAGCCATTATGTAAAGATTAAAATAATTTTAATTATGGTATTTACTTTCCTTTTTTAGGGTCTCTTTTCTACTGCTTTTGTATTTTTTAATGGGCATTTGCTTTTTTAAAAATGTGCTGAGATTGTGCTAAAAATTGTGATTCAAATTGATAAGTTACTGATAAAAAGTGGCATTTTTGGATGAGAAAAGGCAGCATTAACATAGTGATTACATAATCTACTTGTAGGCTCTACTACCACATGTATAAAATGGAGTGAAGAAAATACCTACTTTAGGAGGTTATTTTGATAATTAAATGGAGAATGCTTAGTGCATATACTGCAGTTATCATTGTGCTTGGCACCTAAAAAGCACTAAAAAGAGATTAGCTGTTATTTTTATTTCTATTTGGCAGTCATTCTTGTGATTTTGTGTGTGTGTGTGTGTGTGTGTGTGTGGAAATTGCACGTCTTTCACAAATGTAAATTTTACAATTGTAAAAATCCTATTTGCAATTTCCCCCTAATGCTGAAAGAGATGGCTGAGATTTATTTATCAGTATTCCTTAATTTGGAGATCTACCCTACCGCTGCCTGTTGGGAAAGAGATTTCCAACCATTACATTAAAAAGAATGCTCTCTGATTTCTCTGGAAGGCAATTTGGGAGCCTCAGCAGCCCCACAGATTGAGAATTGGCACTGCTTGGCCTGTGGCTTTGCAATTTTAATTTTGACCCAATTCCAGCTTTAGGAGATTAATCCTACAGTTGAATTGCTTGAGACTTCTAAGTAGCACCAGCAGTCTTAGCTGACTTGTACTGCAAATGCCACCATTTGGGAGAATATTCTCAATAAATGCCAAGTCTACTGTTTAAACCACTTTAATCAGTTAAAAGAAATACATGGTACAAGACCTCTGGGAAAATATGCTTAAATTCTTCTTCAGCTACTGAGTGAATAATGACATGATATGATACATCCATCTCCTCCTCAGATAAAGCAGCAGCTTCCAGGCTGGTCTCTAGGATTCAGAAACATGCTGCCCAAAGGAGCCAGGATAGCCAAGTAGCCCCACGGTCTCTGGCTTCTACCTTTGAGGCCTTGCCAACCCCCAGCTGACAGTCTCTTGCATTTCACACTCTGGATCTTGGTAAAGCAGGCAATCTGTATTGTTTTGGAGGATGATTGTGGTCCCCTTAAGTACACAGATTGGGAGAATGATGCTAGACTTTCACGCTCAGATAAGTCTGCCATAGTGGAACCGAAGCAGTGCTCATGCTCTATTCTCCCCATCATTGTCAAGGAGTTCCAGGACTCAGGTTTTTGGTCTAGGCAGTAGGTCCCGAGGGAGGCACTCAGACCACTGAGGTGATACAAGGCATACAGCAGGCTGCAGGACTGGAATGTAATTCTAGGTGGAGCCTGCTGAGGTCTGCCTTGCTGCATGCTGGCAGCCATGGTAGCCGCAGCTTCCTGACTCTTAGGTATGTTTAAACTTGACAGAAACTCAAGTTGTCTGTTTTCTGAGGCTTTGGGCCTTTGCAGAAAAGGTACAGTGCTTCATAGGTACTGAATAAGGGATCTGGAATTAGAGCCTGCTATTTGGGGTCAGGTGCGTCCTTACCAGTGGGCCAGAAGTAGATTCTTAGTGGTGCTAGTTCAGATTAAATCTGTATTTTATCTTAAGTTCATGTGAGTTTTGCGTCATACTTCATATTGTATCTTTATTCTAATCAAGAAAAATATAAATTGTAAATTGTCTATCTTCAAATAAAATGGGTATTTTAAGAATAAACAAGGAGGCTGGGTGCAGTGACTCATGCCTGTAATCCCAGCACTTTGGGAGTCTGAGGCAGGCAGAACATTTGAGGTCACAAGTTCAAGACTATCCTGACCAACATGGTGAAACCCCATCTCCACTAAAAATACAAAAATTAGCCAGATGTGGTGGCGTGCGCCTGTAGTACCAGCTACAAGGGAGGCTAAGGCAGGAGAATTGCTTGAACCTGAGAGGTGGAGGTTGCAGTGAGCCGAGATTGTACCACTGCACTCCAGCCTGAAGAAAAAAAAAGCATAAACAAGGAGTATCTTCCAGTGATTCTGGCAACCTCTCTATTCTCCCCCAAGGTGAAAAACAGAAAGTTAGTACTAAAGCTTTGCCAACAAAAAGCAGCTGTTTTCATGAACAGCTTACTTTCAGAAGATTACATGTTAACACTTACTCATCTGTAAAATTAGCCCCGTGACCAAAAGACCCATAGCATCTTTTTTTGAGACAGTGTCTTGCTCTGTTGCCCAGGCTGGAGAGCAGGGGTATGATCATAGCTCACTGCAGCCTTGAACTTTTGGACGCAGGCGATCCTCCCACTTTAGCCCCTAGCCCCAGTAGCTGGAACTTAACAGGTATGTACCAGCACACCAGGCTAATTTTTTTTTTAACTTTTTGGATAGATAGGGTTTGGAGGGGTCTAACTATGCTACCTTGGCTGGCCTCCTGAGCTCAAATGATCTTCAGGCCTTGGCCTCCCAAAGTGCTAGGATTATGGGAATGAGCCACTGCGCCCAGCCTGACCTGTAGCATCTTGAGGGGAAAGCATAGACAAGGCACCTTATGAGAAGAGCAGCAATAAGGAAAAGCCAGAGCACCGTATGTCTCAGAACAATCAGAGGTTCTGACCAAAACAAAGTCATAATTTTCTAGCTACAAACATATATATATATTTTTTTTTTTGAGATGGGGTCTCACTCTGTTGCCGAGGCTGGAGTGGCGATCTTCGCTCCCTGCAGCCTCTGCCCCACAGGTTCAACTGATTTTCCTGCCTCAGCTTCCTGAGTAGCTGGTATTATGGGTGCTCGCCACCACACTCGACTAATTTTTGTGTTTTTAGTATAGACGAGGTTTCACTGTGTTGGCCGGGCTGGTCTTGAACTCCTGACCTCAAGTGATCTGCCCACCTCAGCCTCCCAAAGTGCTGGGATTATAGGAGTGAGCCACCGCACCTGGCCTGTACTGTCTTTCTAATAATAAAACATTAAGAGTAATATATCTTGATTTATTTTAAAGACATATTCATGACTGAAACAGTATAGTTGCAGTATGAGTTGAAAAAGAAAGCTGTAAGAAAAGTTCATCTTTAAAAAGGTGTTTAATGTCTCTCAAAAAAGACATTTTCATCACCACCATATAATTTAAGAGTTAGGGTATCATTTCATATTATATATCAATTTGAGTGGAAAAACTATTATCCTTGTATTATTATAGTACCTTAATTTTTTTTCTTTTTTTAAGACAGGTCTCACTTTGTCACCCAGGCTGGAGTACAGTGATGCTGACATGCTCACTGCAGCCTTTACCTCCTGGGCGCAAGCAATCCTCTTACCTCAGCCCCCCAAGTAGCTGAAACTACAGGCGTGTGCACCATGCTCAGCTAATTGTTGTATTTTTTGTAGAGATGGGATTTTACCACGTTGGCCAGGCTGGTTTCAGACTGCTCATGCAGTCTGCCTGCCTCAGACTCCCAAAGTGCTGGGATTATAGGCATGAGCCACCACACCTGGCCCTAAATTTTTTTTTTTTTTTTTGCTACTTTAATTTAGTGGAAGTTAATTGTTCTATGCTGTCAAGAGTAACTTAGTATGTAGAGTTTTTGGAAACCTCAGAGGTATTTAAAATAGAGGTTTCATTCTTATTTGTCAGTCATTC